AGCTGTGTTGGGTTCCACAACAACTTCTGTATCTGTCTCTTTTTTTTTTTGAGACAGAGTCCTGCTCATGTTGCCCAGGCTGGAGCGCAATGGTGCGATCTCAGCTCACCATAGTCTCCACCTCCTGGGTTCAAGTGATTCTCCTGCCTCAGCCTCTCGAGTAGCTGGGACCACAGGTGCAGACCACCATGCCTGGCTAATTTTTTGTATTTTTAGTAAAGACAGGGTTTCGCCATGTTGGACAGGCTGGTCTCAAACTCTTGGCCTCAGGTGATCTGCCTGCTTTGGCTTCCCAAAGTGCTGGGATTATAGGCTTGAGCCACTGCACCTGGCCCACTTCTGTGTCTTTCTGCTGTGCAGACTTTGTCTGTCAGCCTGGTATCTCGGTACTCGGCTGGGGTCTGCCACATGGTGCATATCCAGAGGAGGTGGCAGAGGCTGCTGATTTCCTACTCAAGGTCTATTCTCTCCTTGTTTCCAAAACAGGGTTTTAAAAAACCCTGATGTTCTTTGGGGCTGCAATGTACCAAGCTAAAAATACTCACCTTCATAATTTCCTTTGTCACTAGGTATGGGTATGGGAACTAGCTCTGGCCAATAAGATGAAAATATATACATATGCTGGGAATTTCTGAAAAGTCCTGACATAGGGGCCATTACTTACTCCTTCTCATTTCCTCTCCTTCTGCCTGGAATATAGTTGTGATGGTCACAATTGCAGCCATCTTGCAACCATGAGGTGACAAGTATGAGGACAAAGGCCTACATGCCAGGACAGAGGTGTGAAAAGGTGGAAGTAATCTGGAATCACATGGATATATCTGAGCCTTTGTGCTAGCCCTGTTATGCCCTACCACCAGACACATTGTTATTTAAATAAATAACAAGATAAACAAGCCCCTATCTTAACCTTGCAGTTATTGGGACTTACTGCATTCCTGATGCATTTGTTTTCAGTGCACTGGCATTCATAGGAAAGCAACTCTCGGGGCACCCCTTTGGTCCTTGCCTCCTTCTCTAAAGTATGCCTGTCACTACATTCCTGCCCACACCCCATTGTCAGAGAGTGTCCACCACATTCCCCACTGGGTGAGTGGTGGACCATGGCCATACCTGATTGAGCCAATGAAATTAACCTGACCTAACCACTTTCCCTCCCTGACAATTTCAACTCAATCCAGAAATTTGCATTAGAACATAGAAATTAGTGTTTGCAGCCTGCTGTCGCCCCAGGAAGCTTTCCTTTGGCCAGGATAGTGCTTTTTTAGATTTTTGAAAAACATCAAGCTTCCCCCAGATAGCTGGATATCTGACCTCTCTTGAAATAGTGGAAAATCTGGCATCACTGGGCTCATATTCCACACGGCAATAAATGGCTGTTGCTGGCAAGTGGCTGCTCCCTCTAGACAGGCACATACTCACACACTTTCCATAGTCCCTTGGGAGAGCTTCCCTTGGGACTATGGAAAATGTGTGTGCCTGTGTTCATATACATGGCTCCTTTTCATCATCCCTGTTGGCTCCTGTAGGCATTTAAAGTTTAAGATGCCTGCTCTACGTAGTCTCTATAAGTCCCTAAACCATGCTGATAATAACGCTGATAATGAAGATAACAATAGCAACAATTACTGATGGTTCCCTAAGTAGTTTGGTGAAGGCTTTACACACGTTGTGTGATTTCATCCTCAAAACAGAAAACCCTACTACTGTCCTCATTGTACAGATGAGGAAATGGAGCCCAAAGGGGATCAGTAACTTGACCAAAACCTTGTGGTTGGTGAACTGCACATCTGAGATTTGAATCCAGGCATTCTGACCTCCAAGTGGGTGCTTCCTAAACAATAAGCTATAATGTCTTTCCATGAATTAAGACAAAACCACAGCTGGAAAGAAGAATGTGGGAGTTGTATTGAGAGAGACAGGGAAAGAGATAGATAGGTAGAGAGAAATTAAGGCACCAAAGTGGGAGGCAGAGTGAGTAGCTGCATTGGCCCCAGTTTTCTATTTCCCTGTGAAGCCTAGTTGCAATCCACATTCGGGTTGCAGGCAAACCATCAGTTGGGATTCATAATGCAAGCAACAGAAACTGACTGTGGTAGATTTAAGCAGGAGAGGAATCCATAGAAAAGATACCAGAGAGTTTTTGGCATTGCTGGGAAGGCTGAAGAACCAGACCTGGACACCGCAATGGCAGAAACACAGGGCCTGTGAGGACCCTGCTGTCCCCAGTGCAGAGTACCAGACCCTTCCACTTGCCTCGCTGATTCTGCTAAAGCTCCACATCTGGATGCTAGGAACAGTCACTGGCCCTACTGCCTGGGCTGCCCCAGAGACGGGATATTGCTGCTTCTATGGCCACCACCACCAGGCTGGGCCTCTCCACTGTCTCTATGTCTTTTTCTTTTTTTTTTTTTTTTAAGATTTAGGTGGAAGTTTTTGTTTTTTTGGTTTGGTCTGGGTTGGGTTGTTATTGTTGTGTTGTGTTGTGTGTTTTCTTTTGTTTAGAGACAGAGTCTTGGCAGGGCACAGTGGCTCACGCCTGTAATCCCAGCACTTTGGGAGGCCGAGGCGGGCGGATCACTTGAAGTCAGGAGTTCAAGACCAGCCTGGCCAACATGGAGAAACCTCGTCTCAACTAAAAATACAAAAAGTACCCAGGCATGGTGGTGTGTGCCTGTAATCCTAGCTACTCAGGAGGCTGAGGCAGGAGAATTGCTTGAACCCAGGAGGCAGAGGTTGCAGTGAGCCAAGATTGTGCCACTACACTCCAGCCTGGGTGACAGAGCAACACTCCATCACAAAAATAAATAAATAAATAAAATTTAAAAAATAAAAAAATAGAATCTTGCTCTGTTGCCCAGGCTGGAGTGCAGTAGCGTGATCTTGGCTCACTGCAACCTCCACCTCCCAGGTTCAGGTGATTCTCTCGCCTCAGCTTCCCAAGTAGCTGGGACTATAGGGCGTGCCACCACACCTGGCTAGTTTTTTTTGTATTTTTTAGTAGAGATGGGATTTCGCTACATTGGCCAGGGTGGTCTCAAACTCCAGGCCTCAAGAAATCCACCTGCCTCCGCCTCCCAAAGTGCTAGGATTACAGGCACGAGCCCCCATGCCCGACACTGTCCTTATGTCTTTACATCACCAACTCTTCATTCAAAGTTTAGTTTATGCCTCTGACTGGCTGAGCCTAGGTCACATGCCCAAGCCTTAGCTGCAAGGGAGGCTGAAAAGCAAATAGTTAGCACTTCCACATTCTATGTGGGGAAGTGAGCTCTACTTCCCACCAAGACTCATATGATGGGAAATTCTCCAGACATGAGTATGCGTTTCTGAGGCTGGACAGCCAAAAGGGACAATTATCCATAAAAATCCACGGTGTCTCCTTTTCAATAAGCTAGCTCAAGTGATTAGCATTTAGAATTGCATCAAAAAAGAGAGAACACTCAAGTGGAGTGATCAAGGAAAGTATTTATTTATTTATTTTATTTTTTGAGACAAGGTCTCACTCTGTTTCCCAGGCTGGAGTGCAGTGGTGTGATCACAGCTCACTGCAGCCTTGACCTCCCAGACTCAAGCGATCCTCCTGCTTCAGCCTCCCAAAGTTCTGGGATTACAGGTGTGAGCCACCCTGCCTGGCCAGGAAAGTATTTATAAAGTTGTAAGAATGGTTAAGGGAAGCCAACAGGAATGGGGGAAGCACCCCATAGACTGCGACTGTTGAGGGGGGTACATTATGGGGCAGGGAGAAGGAGTGCTTCCATGAATGTGGAAAGAGCTGGAGTTGCGAAAAGGATCTTCCATGATGGTTCCAGTCCTCGGCCCCAGTGGAGGGGGATCTGGGTAAATAAATACCCTCATTTCTCTCTTCTTCCATCCTCTAGTATCCTCCATGTGTCTCCCATTGGGCAAACCCAATAGAAAGTCAGGGAGTAAAGAATCCTTTTGATATATTCCGTTAAAGTGAATCTCTGGGGCACAGCACCACTGGTGGAGAAGGTGAAGGGTAGATCTGGAGGACTAAACAGAATAGCTAACAACACATGGCATGATCCCTGTCTTTCCATTGAGTCACTGTAAACTGGTTTTTCCACTTTAATTGAAAGACTCTGGCATTTTGTGGTTCTCCCAGAACTTTCCAACTGGCCACCTCTGTCATCTCCTTTTTGGTCTGACCTGTTAGTTTGTTCCTATCTATAAGCCTGCATTTGAAGGTCACAGCCTTTGGTTTCCAAAAAGCAGAGGCTTTTCTATGTGGTCATAGGGAGTCTCCTTTGTTGCAGGTGAAATCAATTCTCCACCCAGGTTCCCAAATTCTGATTTGACAGCTCTCCTGGAATTTTGCCAAAACAACTTGCCTCTGTAAGGCATAAAATGTCTTCCCATATTTCAAGAGCTGCCCTCGTGGGGTTCTTTCTTTCTTGGAGACGGAGTCTCACTCGTCGCCCAGGCTGGAGTGCAATGGTGGGATTTTGGCTCATTGCAATCTCCCCCTCCCGGGTTCAAGAGATTCTCCTGCCTCAGCCTCCTGAGTAGCTGGGATTACAGGCACCTACCACCACACCTGGCTAATTTTTTTTGTATTTTTAGTAGAGACAGGGTTTCACCCTGCTGGCCAGCCTGGTCTCGAACTCCTGACTTCAGGCGATCTGCCCGCCTCGGCCTCTGAAAATGCTAGGATTACAGGCATGAGCCACCGCGCCCAGTCTGTTTCTTTATCTTTCAATGCCTCACTTGGTCTCTTTTTTCTCTCACGACCTGATTTGCCAGCCAAATTTTATCCTAGCTTTCCGCATTCCCTGTTGAGTGATCATCTCTCCATGACCCAGATCTCAGTCTTTCTCTCTCCAAAGAACTACAAAGAACATTGTGTCTATAACTTAACTGCAGTTTGGTGACTCTGTTGCCAGCATGGCTTGAAATGGTTCTTGCTTAGACTTTTTTTTTTTTATGGTAATGCAGTATTTTATTTATTCTGTTCATTAACAATACATGAGAGCACTTACAATATTCATTGAACATAATCTAAGAGAAGATCAACTTACATTTTGTACATCTCTATTAATACGAAACGGTTGAATTAATTTATGGTCAAAATTATGATGGCAAAAACTTATAAATAAATAAATGCTTGGTGTTAGTGTGTCTGGAATTTATTTCTTCCAGTGGGTTCTTGGTCTCACTGACTTCAAGAATGAAGCCGCGGACCTTCACGGTGAATGTTACAGCTCTTAAGATCTTAAAGATGGTGTGTCCAGAGTTTGTTCCTTCAGATGTGCCCAGAGTTTCTTCCTTCTGGTGGGTTCGCAGTCTCACTGACTTTAGGAGTGAAGCCGCAGACCTTCACAGTAAGTGTCACAGCTCATAAAGGTGGCGCATCTGGAGTTGTTTCTTTCTTCCCGTGGGTTCCTGGTCTCGCTGATTTCAGGAATGAAGCCGCAGAGCACAGCCTCATGGTGAGTGTTACAGCTCATAAAGGCAGTGCAGACCCAAACAGTGAGCAGCAGCAAGATTTATTGTGAAGGGCGAAAGAACTAAGCTTCCACAGTGTGGGAATGGGGCCCCAGCGGGTTGCCACTTCTGCCTTCGGTGGCCAGCTTTTATTCCCTTATTTGGCCCCGTCCACATCCTGCTGATTGGTCCATTTTACAGAGTGCTGATTGGTCTGTTTTTACAGAGTGCTGATTGGTGCATTTTCAAACCTTTAGCTAGACACAGAGTGCTGACTGGTGTGTTTACAATCCTTTAGCTAGACAGAAAATTCTCCAAGTCCCCCCCACGACCCAGAAGCCCAGCCAGCTTCACCTCTCATTAGCATGGCCACATACATTTCAGTTTTTGGTGTAAAGGTCTTTGGCTGCAAGAAATAACATTTGGTTTACTTCACTAGTAGAAATAACTCTTAATGCTGGAATGGCCACCTCTTGGTATTTCTTCTGCTGTTGATTTTTAGCATAGTTGTCTGTGATTGTATGAATGGAGTTGAGTGAAGGGGTACTCATCATGTTAATCCCAAACAAGAGCACACAGCCAATTACTATAGTAATAAGGAGGTAGAGAGATAATGCAACTGTCCAATGTTTTTGAGGCCAATAGGTTAAACCTAAGGAGTTTAGCCAAGATTCAGGAATAAAAGCCCACACGAGGTAAAGTATGAAGCCAAATTGGGAGCTTACGAGAAGCACAAAGTCATAAATCGCTCTTCCTGGCAGCAGTGAATTTTCCACCATTTTTCCTGGGGCTTTAGACAGTCTCAGCGCTGAGTTCCCTGCGCAAGCGCCAACCAGGAAGCCCCAGTGCGGGAGTGGGGTGGGGGAAGGGTGGGTGAGGGGAAGAAGAAAAATTGAGGGAAAGGCCTAGGCGCGAAGGCTCCTCCCACTCAGGCACAGGCGCACGATGACCCTCCCCCTGAGTGGGAGCCAGCGAGCGGCTCTTCCCTAGGTTTCTGATGGGAGAAGCTGTTTCTCCTCATCCCGTAAAGTTTCGAGCGGATGACCTAGATAAATGAGCAATGAAACTATGACGACTAAGTTCAAAGGAGTGACATTTAGCATTGTGATCTTCTAAAATCTGTACAAGTTAGGCGATGCATTTAGTAAGTGATTATAAATATTTAATGTATACATATATAGCAAGTGACAAGCGTTTTATCATAAGCATTAGCATTCTTAGGGAGAGGTGGCAGTCGAGTGGACTGTGATGTTTGGCACAGGCACCCCTCCTCCCCCACTGAGAAATGAAGGATTTATTCCACCAGCTACTGGGAGAAGTGTTGGCAGATGATTCTTGGCTGTAAGCCCTCTTTGGGAATTTCCTTGGCTGCTGCCTTTTCAGGGCAGTCTGCATAAATGATTGATCAGCTTGGGAGCTTAGAGGCCTGGTCCCCTTACCTCTACTCAGGACAACTTGGAAGACCTATTCCAGTTTCAGAGGTCTCCATGAGGTCAGTGGAAGCCTTTGTTCTGACATTGCACTTCAATTTCTCCCTCTGCTCCATCCTGCTTCCTTCTCTGCTCTTCCCCTGCTGTTGATCCCAAGAGTGCTCCCTGAGTAACTTCCTGCATGTTAATCTCCATCTCAGAGTCTGCTTCCCAGAGAATCCAACCCACAGTCCTCCCATCCTCCTTGTTTCCAGGCCCCTTGGAATGTGACTTTGCAGCTTCTCCAATCAAGAGATGGAGTTTATTTTTTGACATCTTGAATCTAAGCTGGCCTGTGACTTGCTCCGGTCAATAGAATGAGGCAGAGGTGACATCGTGCCAGTTCTGAGCCTGTACCTCCAGAAGCCTTGCATGCTGCTTCTGTCGCTCTTGGAGTCCTGCTGCTACTGTGAGAACAGGCCCTGGCTAGCCTGCAGGAGCAGGAGAGACGAGTGGTCAAGTCACTGCTGTTGTCCCAACTGACAGTCAACCAATCCCTGAAGCAGAGTCACCTGGCTAACCACAGTGCCTGAATGAACCCAGCCAAGACCAGAAATAATACCTAGCTGAGCCCAGCCGAAACTGCTGACCCAGAGATTCATGAGCTAATAAGTAGTATTGTTTTAAGACAGTTAAGTTTTGGGGTGGGCTTGCTACGTTGCAATCCTTAACTGACACAAGAAGGAACTGTGTTTGAGGAACCACAAACTGGAGGCGGGAGCACCAGGCCCCTAGTAACAGAAGACATGATTAAGAGCTTTCCATGAGAAAATGGGAGGAATTTATTTTTTGCCCCTGCGAAGAAGGTAGAGAGAACAGAATGGAGGTAGGAGCATTAAAAGTAGGTAAGGAGGAGAAGGTTGCCAGCCAGAAGGTAAACGACTGGGAATAATACGAGTTGAAGCAGCAGGTGGAATTGCTTGGTGGGTCTATGTCCAGGTAGTGAGGGCGGCAGAGAGACTTGTTTGTATCTCTTAGATATAATCTCTTCTCTGTTTATTTGCATCTCATTCCAATCTCCTTACAAAAACGGGAACCAGGCCAGGCACGGTGGCTCACACCTGTAATCCCAGCACTTTGGGAGGCTGAGGAGAGCAGATTGCCTGAGCTCAGGAGCTCAAGACCAACCCGGGCAACATGGTGAAACCTCGTTTCTACTAAAAACACAAAAAATTAGCAGGGGCATGGTGGCACATGCCTGTAATCCCAGCTGCTTGGGAGGTTGAGGCAATAAAGTGAGACTCTTGTCTCAAAAACAAACAAACAAACAAAACTCACACATTATTGCATAAAAAAGCAACTTGCAGAAAATGGAATATAATAGCATTATAAAAGCACATAAGGCAAACATTTATGGATACATTTTATGAGTAAAAGTATAAAAACAAGATTTGGAAAGACAGACACCAAATTCCCTACGGTGGATTCCTCTGGGAAGGAAGACGTACGTAAGATAGGTCACTTTTAACCCTATTAGATTAAAAAAAATCAAAAGCCAATCTTGTAAAATAATAACATTAAATTCAAAGAGTTGGAGGGCGTGGGTATTTGTTAGACAGCTCTCTGTTTCTTCTGTATTTAAGATTTTTACCAACTGAGAAAAAATCCAATTATACCCATGAATGCTTTTGGTTATTTGTCTGAGTGTGTGGCTGAGTTTCACATCTGGGTCATAGAGATTCATGCCAGAATCAGGACCCCAGAGGCAAAGTTACCAAGCATGTGAGTCCCCTAGGGTCTCCAGACTCTTGGGAAGGGCTCTGTGGACGTATAGGCCTTGGAAATTGAATCTGAGTCCATGTCACTGAGCTTGCCTATGGTGAGAGACCCTGGGGAACATCTGGGTTACATGTATAATTGTTACAGGCACTGACACCACGGGTAAGCAGATCACATATGTTAAACAAATGGTAAACAAAACAAAACAGAACCTCTTCTCTCTTTGCTAATTTCCCAGTGTCTATAATCAGGCTTGCGATGGATAGTTTTCCCTGATACTATATATGATCCCACACACAATTAAAGGAAAGTGTCTGGAAATGAGAGAGCTGTGAGTATTAGTTGATGAAAGAGGCAGATCTGAGCAGAGGAGCTGCTGATAAGAATGAAGAAAAGACCCACACTAAGAGGGTTCACTGATTCTTCCGGGTCTCAGCTCAGGACCCGAGCTCGCTTTGGGTGCCTAATTCACACTCACCTACTGTCCCTCTGGCTACATGTTCTCTCCAAAAACTCTAAATGTAGCCATGCTTCCCTTAGATTCCTGTGCTAGGCACCATCTAGCCTAGACAAAGCTGACTTTGAGTCTCAAACTAGCTGTGTGATCTCTTTTTGAGATGCACTCTCCTCTGTGGCACAGGCTGGAGGGCAGTGGCACAATCTCAGCTCACTGCAACCTCTGCCCCCGGGTTCAAGCGATTCTCATGCCTCAGCCTCTCAAGTAGCTGGGACTACAGGCCTGTGCCACCACACTCAGCTAATTTTTTATATTTTTAGTAGAGATGGGGTTTCATCGTGTTGTCAAGGCTGGTCTTGAATGGTCTTGAACTCCTAACCTCAAGTGTTCCACCAGCCTCGACCTCCCAAAGTGCTGAGGTTACAGGCATGAGCCACCACACCTGGCCTAGCTGTGTCATCTTGAACAAGTCACTGAACTCTGTTGAACCTCAGTTTTCTCACCCATAAAATACTGATTCTAATCCTTGCCTTCCCCGATAGGACTGTTTTAAAAGCATTCAATAAAATAATGGACATTACAGGGGACTTGCAACCTGTAAGTTTGTATATGGAACAGTTGTAAACTATTTCTCAACTGTAGATAGCAACTGCTATAGATTGTTTTATTTATTTATTTATTTATTTATTTAATTTATTTATTTATTTTGAGGTGGAGTCTCACTCTCTCACCCAGGCTGGAGCGCAGTAGCGTGATCTCAGCTCACTGCAACCTCTGCCTTTTGGGTTCAAGCAATTCTCCTGCTTCAGCCTTCCAAGTAGTTGGGATTACAGGCCCATGCCACCAAGGCCAGCCTTTTTTTTTTTTTTTTTCTAGTAGAGATGGAGTTTTACCATGTTGGCCAAGCTGGTCTCAAACTCTTGACCTCAGGTGATCCACCCACCTTGGCCTCCCAAAGTGTTAGGATTACAGACGTGAGCCACTGAGCCCAGCCATATTTTATTATTGTTATTATTATTATTATTATTATTATTATTATTATTATTAATTTTATTTTTTGGAGACAGAGGCTCCCTCTCTCTCCAGCCCAGGCCAGGGTGCAGTGGCGCAATCTCAGCTCACTGCAACCTCTGCCTCCTGAGGTTCAAGCGATTCTCGTGCCTCAGCCTCTCAGGGTAGCTGGGACTACAGGTGTGCACCACCACTCCCAGCTAATTTTTTGTATTTTTAGTAAAGACAGGATTTCACCATGTTGCCCAGGATGGTCTCGAACTCCCCAGCTCAGGCAATCTGCCCACCTCAGCCTCCCAAAGTGCTAGGATCGCAGGCATGAGTCACCGCATCTGGCCCTCTTTTATTTCTTTAAATTAAATCCTAAAGCCATGGGAGCAACGTTGGAGAGTCCAGGAGTGCTATTGTTGCCAAGTCACTTCCCGTCCAGTAGAAGCTGCTGTCACATGATGACCCTCCTACCTCCTTGAGTACTGCTGGCCTAGGCTGCAGCAATGTTTCCCTATTTCCAGGTCCCAGCATGGACCACTGTGGTCCTTTGACAGAGTTCCGCCACTGCTCTGGGGCCATGTTTAACACTAGGTGCAAGCCACAGCTCTTGTACCCTATCAACCATTCTCTTCTGGAGTACAGATGCCCAGGAAGTTTTGTGCCAAAGCTATTTAGATATCTTTCCCTTATGAAAACCACAATTATTTTTTCCCTGTTTCCAGCCTAAAGGTTGGGTCAGTTTCCTCTGGGGATGGTGGGGGTAGCAATTTTTAAAATACAGAATAATGTGAAGAAAAAAATAATCTATATTTCACCATGGCCTGTCTTGGCATGTTTTCTTCCAGTCATTTAGAACCTGAACTCTGTTGTTTCAGGGAACTGATACAACATTATTATGAAGAATTCAAATAATAAAGGAAAGGGTGAAGGTGATAGTAGAAAAAAAATCATATTTTGTGGTCTAGAAATTACAAGAGATGTGCATTATTTGAAACGTCTTTGTGCCAATATAAAAGTAGGAGGATGAGATAGAAATATTTTATTAAAAGGAGATTATATTATAGGTTCAAATTTTAATTAAGAAATGTTACATTTTATTATAATTTACTAGACAAAAAAAGAACTGGAGAGAAACTAAAGGAATTGTTGAAAGTCAAACAAATATTTCTGTACTTCAAGAGATAACTTTTTGAAATATCCC